TGAGTTTTATTAGCAGCACCACGTTTGAAAATAAGTTCCAAAAGAGCTACAAAAAATAACTAGAACATGGAAATAACTGCAAAAAATGTTCTTCCTCAGTGTTTGTGTCTTGTTTTCCAGCGCAAAAAGATTCTTAAATCAAGATGCATTTAATGGAGAAGCACAATGACAAAATAAGAAGTCTTGTTTTCTGAGTAAGTGAGTTTATGATTAAAAGAAGAACAAATATATGTTGCAATAATGTCATTTGTGTATTTTCCTTTCATTTTAAGATTGTGTTTCTGATTAAATAAAGCAGTAATTGATGTCATAAAATCACGAGTCTGTTTTGATTTAAAGGTCAGAAGCTGTAGCTTACATCAATAAAAAATCACAAACATAACACTTGTAAATAAAAAAATTTATATACACATATTTATTCATTAATGTGTAATATGTTTATTTTTTTCGAACGGATTTTGAAAACTTAAATACAAGTTCTCAAAGATTTTCTCTTTTAGAGAAATGTTTTAGACTATCAACAAATGTTAAATCTTCAAATAAAATGTTAAAGTTACCGCTGCATCTGTCTGAAAAAAAATGCAGTGACTTATTTATAATTATTTTCAAGGCTTTCAATGCACTCTTTATTATTGTTTATTTAATTGTAACAAGTAAGTTTTTGTTAAAAACTACCCAAAATTAATAATAATTTGTTTATAATCTCTGAACAGGAGAGACTTGGTGTTGTTTCCCAACAAAAGGAAATATATATATATATATCAGTATCGGCCAAATTTAGTTAAAAAAATATCGGATATCTGATATTATATCAGATAATAATCGTTCTGAAAGTGATTCCAATGATATCGCTTGTTTGTGCCGTTATTGTTATTGCTGTGGTGTGAACAGACTTCTTATCTTCTATCATTCTGTCATGACATTTTTCCAAAATATTAGAAAATGTTGTGTCCACTTAATTGTACCCCTTCCTGCAAAAAAATGACATCTATGAAAAATATCAGTCTGCATTCAGGCCTCATCATAGCACAGAAACTGCGCTCGTAAAAAAGACAAATGACCTACTTTTAGCTTCTGATCAAGGATGTCCAATACTAGTTTTACTTGATTCTAAGATGCTGCGTTTGACACTATAGATCATTAAAAACATACTCTTAGGCCGACTACAAAATTACACTGGTCTCCAGGGACAGGCATTACAGTGGTTTAGATTGCACTTAGCAGACCGTTACCATTTAGTCTACTTAAATGGTGAAAAAAACGAGTTAACATCAGCAAATTATGGGGTGCCCCAAGGATCCGTGTTAGGCCCTCTGTTATTTTCAATATACATGCTGCCACTTGGCAACATTATTAGAAAACATGGAATTAGTTTCCACTGCTATACTGATGATATATATTTCATCAAGACCAGATCCAGGTTTTTTGTCCAGGTTGACAAATTGTGTTAACGATACAAAATATTGGACGACCAGTATTTTTTTTCTATTAAATTCAGGCAAGACTGAGGTATTACTTATTGGACCAAGAACCTGCACACAGAATCTCTTAGAATACAGTTTGTAACTACAAGGATGTACTGTTATGTCATCATCTGCAGTTAAAGACCTGGGTGTTATATTAGATAGCAACTTATCATTCGAAAATCATATTTCATATGTTACAAAAACAGCCTTCTTCCACCTTAGAAACATTGCTAAGCTACAGAACGTGTTCTCTGTTTCTGATGCAGAAAAGCTAGTTCATGCATTCATGACCTCTCGACTAGATTACTGTAATGCACTGCTAGCTGGTTGTTTGTTATCTTCAATAAACAAGCTACAGGTAGTCCAAAACACAGCTGCTAGAGTTCTTACCAGGTCAAAAAAAATATGATCATATTACCCCAATTTGATCATCTCTACACTGGTTACCTATTAAGTTCCATAAATGGTTTAGCTCCTGTATATTTAACTGATCTTCTTATGCCCTATAATCCATCACACTCTTTAAGGTCACGAAACTCTGGACTTTTAGTAGTACCTTGGATATCTAAGTCCACTAAAGGAGGGAGAGAAGTTTCTCATCTGGCTCCTAAGTTCTGGAATAGTCTTCCTGATAATGTCCGGGGCTCAAACACACTC